GGCACAAAGGACAAGGATGATGGGTGCTGAGGTGGTAGGTGTGTGTGGTAACACACATTTGAAAGGGTGTGAACCTGTACGGCAATCGAGGTCTCCCTGGTGGCACAAGGGGTTAAGATGCAACCAATGAAGCTGTCCACAGCCTCTACAGCAGGAGTTTGATCCCGGGTGGCCAGGGAGCAACCCACATGGTGCAGCAGACCTCTCCTGACTCACCCACTAGTCCCCTCAACTCTGTCCTTAGGTCATTCTGCCTGTTCTGTTGCCCACTCTGTCTCTAGTGAATCGTCTCAACCCCCACACCTCTGGCCTGTACCCCAGCTCTTGTATGCATAAATTAATCTTTAAAATAAAAAAATAAACTACAATCATTTCAAAATATCTGATTTAGTGTCAAAAATATAAACTTCCTGATTGAATGCTTTTCTTATGAAAAATAAGTAAAGACAAGTCATTAAGTCAAACTTATATTTTGAAAACTAAATAGATATTGCAACAATTGTGTAGCATATAGAAGCAACAGGTATTCTGCTGTGGTTTTCTGTTGGTGATGGTAGTGGGAGGGACAAGTACAAGTCATTGCTAACATTGTTTAGATTTGTCAGCACTTGTGATAGCAAAAAGCAGTCTGCTTTTAATTGATTTCCCTATCGTTTTAAACTTTTTTTACAATGCACCCACTCCCCCCATTTTGACTCCTTCTCTCTGCCTGTATTTTCCCAAGATTGTCATCCTCCTGCATTTCTCTGATTTTTTCCTAAACTGCTTCCTTGTCTTTTTCTCAAGTCCCTAAAAAAAAGTCAAGATTATGTTTGAATGTGTATGTCTTTTCAACTCATATTTACCATTCTAATCTTTTTGTTGTTGGTAAGATCACCATCCTTTTTGTATAATTCCAATTAGGTGTCATTATATTTGGTTTGCTTTCACATGAACATGTGCTAAATGGACTCATTAGGAGGATTTCTGTTGTTCTTTTATTCTGATTCTTACCTGTGTCTCTTCTCTCCCCTTACCCCCCATTTATTTTGTCTCATCCTTAGAGGCTTCCTTACTCCAGGGCCTTCACCAGAAGCTCACCATGAATGAGCTTATTGAGAAGATGACGACGGGAAAATCAAGGCATTTCCTGGAACCCTCAGATTACAGTCACTTTTGTGTTGTGTGTAGAGGTCTTTGTTCTCCATAGACAGCACTTCCATTTTCCTGCCAGAGCTATAAGGCTGGCTGCCATTGTTGCAGGGCAGAATGGGGAAAATTGTAGGGAGGAAAGCCCTGAAAGTTGTCAGCACCTGAAAGACACCGCCACCAAGTATCACTCTCTCCTGGTGTAGCTGTCAGAAGGCTCTTGGATTCAACGTTCCTAGGGGTGAATGCGCCTTTATCCACTGTGTTATCAGAAGGACCCCATCTGGTTGTGTGGGCTGAGGGATATCAATCTTTGAGACACATTTTCTTTTTTTGAGAAATACAAAATATACTTATTTATTTGCAGTAACATTGGTTTACAACACTGTATATGCTTTAGGGAGGCAGGCCCACTCTCTTCAAATGTGTGTTACCACATCTCACTCACCGCCAAGCCACCATGGTCTTCTACCAGAGTCCACTGGGCACCCACCATTCCTTGTTGAGGCAGATTTTCAAATTGTTCTGACTTTCGTCTCATTCACAACCTGCCTTCTGACATAACATAGTGCTTACTTTTCTTAAGCTTCATTTACTGCTCCAAACCTGGGCAGAACAAATATTTTTTTATTTTCACTGCCTTCTCACTGCCTTCTCGCTTCCTCGATCCCCTGAAAGCAGATGAGTTTCATCTTTGCTTCTGTAAGTCATTTACTCTCTTCCATTTCCTAGCTTCCAAACGTTTTCCATCTCTTCTCTACTCAGTGCTTTTGCAGTTGTACTTGTGCTTATTGATAATTTGATCTCACATTTAACATAATTTATATGGACTGTAGAAAGGAATGGAAATAAGCATTTTGTTCAATTCACTATGCTCTGGAAACTCTTTTACTTTTAAATTATCACTTAGGTTTCTGGTGATGAGATTAAAATAGTAGAAAATGTGAACCTGAAAAAACATGCTTTAAGTAAAATAACATTTTATTTAATAAAGTGCTATATAGTATAAAAGTATAAGGCACTATTTTTTATTGTTGCTGATATATGTCATTGGAAGCCAGTGATGCCCTCTGCCTTGCCACATTCAGGACATCCTTACCTGGACAGCAATTTTCTTTACTCCACATATTTTGTAGTTTGATCTCCTCATTCATAGAACTACTGAGTTATCAAGAGATCCACCTTTATAGGTCTCAAATGCATAGACATTTGATATATTTGGCCTTTTGTTTAATTTTTTCACCTATTCTGGCCTTAAATTGGCTTGTTAGTTATTTCATTAATCATGAAATTTATTTCACAGGAATATTATCTATTACTTTTGCAAAGTGCTCATATTTTCTAATTCTTCAAGGTTATAAATGTAGAGCAAAGCATAAGTTATTGATTGTGTGTATAATGAAGAAGTCATCGAAAATTCTTAAGGGCATAGATCACAGGTCTATTTTTCCCATATAAATATATTATTGGCTGAGTTTCATTTTGAGGAATTAAGTAAAATGATATCAGAATTTAAAAAAAGATGACTGTGAGGGTAATAGAAAGAGATGTCTTGTAGTTATAAAAACTCAATTTAAACAAATGGATAATTATACAAATGAGTAAGGGATCAGGTTGATGCAGCTCAAAAAGGGATTTGCCACTCAGGATGCATCTGATGTTGTTGTAGTAGATGACTCCAGATTGTAGATTATGAAGTAAATGCTATGACTACATGAGGATGTTATATAGTGTCTAGATAAGGATATCTTTCTTCAGAGTTTGTGAGGAATACTTTTTTTCCCAGACTCTAGAAATGCAAAACTAGAGATGCTAAAGCAAGACTAAATATTATAACTGAATCACAGTCATTATATCAGTTGAGTTAAATCATTAGATCACAGTAGAATAATTACAATTCATTTGTCTATGACAAAATGCATATTTAATCAAACAACTAACATTCTGTCAGGTGTCAAAAGCAGAACCTCATTTGATTTTCACAGGTGAGTTTAGGAGAGTAGTAATAGTACACTACTTACTACCCACATAATGTATTTCTAAAACAATAAGTATGTTTATATTTGCCATCAATTTCATGCAGTTTAACACCATGGTTATTACCAAGTTCAAAAGAGTTTGTTAATGATGACGGGCATTTCCTGTTCTTATTATATGCCTTCTGTCTCCTAAAATACCCATAACAAATCTTTGATGTACTCACCATTTCAGAAACAGAGAAACTGAGGGTCAGAGATACTAACTAATTACCTATAGCTATGCAAATGATAAATGAATGAGGAGATGAGATTTGGATACTTCAACACTATTATCAGCAGTCAAGCAAGTGTGTCATGCCTTCTCTAAGTTAGTGGAAAAGTAAATCACTTGATTTTTCCATATTATAAAGGCCAAAGAATGGATTGACTTATTTTCCTCTATTTTCTGGTGATTGTAATTTCATTCAGATCTAAGTTTAATGGATAAGGAATTCCTGAGTAAGAATTTGTATTTGTACAATTAAAAATAATAAGTATGGATTAGGGGGAACTAATCTGATCAGAAGATTAGAAGAAAGGAAAGATGCTATTGATATTTACAGATTACTTCCTGCCAGCTGTTTTACTTATATGACCTATTCAGTCTTTTAATTAACATAATAATAAAGCCCACTCATTTTATTCCCTAAATAAAGCTGGATACCTAAAATATTTAATAAAACTTGCTGAATCTCCAAACGAATGTTGTGGAAAAAAAACTCAGTTCTCAATTCTCTGGTCAAACACCTCTACTTTAGGTCCTTGCTGGTGGCTCAGGCGGTTGAATGCAGTGCTGTGAAACTGTCCACAGTCTCTGCAGTGCCAGTTTGATCCCCACTGGCTGCGGAACAACCAACATGGGCAGCAGACCTCTCCTGTCTTGCCCACTGCTCCTCTCAGCAGTGTATTTTGGTCAGTCTGCATGTTCTGTTCCCCACTCTGTGTCTGTAAATCCTCTTACCCTCCCACACATCTGGCCTGTTCCCTGGTTCTTGTAGAAATAAAATAAATCTTTAAAAAAAATACCTCTACTTTACCCCTCTAGGCAAATGAAAGCTTTGTGATTGAAAACTGGAACTTTTTTTTTAGAGGGGGTGTTTTTACACATTATTAGTTATTTTGTTGAGAAGGGATAAAATATAGAAGCAGATCATATGAAGGAGCAGAAAAGAATGAATGAAATTTGTGGAGTGAAGGAAGAATTAAAGGAAAACAGTAAGAAAACAATGAAGAAGAGTGAAAGGAAAATAAAAAGAAAGAAATGGAAGGAAAACAAACCATAAAAGGAGAAAACAATATGAAAAGGAGTGATTAAAGATGGGAAAGCTAAATAAAAACAGAAAAGAGGGCCTCCTTTGTGGCACAAGGGGTTAAGACACAAGCTATCCACGGCCACTGCAGCATGAGTTCAATCCCTGGCCAGGGAGCTACCCACATGGCGCAGCAGACCTTTCCTGACTCACCCATTGCTCCCCTCAACAGGTGTTTCAGTCAATCCCCCTGTTCTGTTCCCCACGCTGTCTCTCATGAATCCTCTCACTCCCACATCTCTGGCCTGTCCCCCAGTTCTATGCATAAATAAATGAATCTTAAAAAAAAAGACAGCAAAGAAAGGAGGACAAGAAACAGGGTGACATGATCAATAGAATTTAAAGGATTTGGAGACAGGGTCCAGTCCAAGTCTGGAAAGGACTGCAGAGGACAGATAGCTCTCAAGTTAAGAAACATACAATTGTGCAGACTGAGAAGATGACATCCACTCCTAATAGGACGATAAAGCTCTTCAGTGGAGGAATATCCAAGATGACCTTCAGCTTCTTTTTGTCACAAAACCTGAACAATGTGTGCTCTGCCTCATTGTTTTGAGCCCTTGTCTCTGTAAAATAGTCTCCTCAGTGCTCCCTTCACATCTTTATTCCTCAGCGTGTAGATGAGAGGATTGAGTGTTGGAGTCACTACTGTGTAAAACAGGGAGATAAATTTCCCATGAGAATGGGAAAAGGAGCTGTTGCGTTGGCCATAGATGAGGAGAGCAGTCCCATAGAAGAGAGACACTACCGTCAAGTGGGATCCGCATGTCCCCAGGACTTTGCGCCAGGCCTGGGCTGACTTGATCCTTACAACTGCCCTGACTATTAATCCATAAGACATCACTATCAATGATAAGGGCAAGTAGAGCAAGACTAATGAAGTGGTGAATACTTGGACCTCGTTGGCGTGGACATCCACGCAGGCAAGCTTAATCATTGAGGGAACCTCACAGAAGAAATTATAGATGCGCCGGTGTCCACAGCGAGGCAGCCGGAGGGTGATAGTACAGTGGATGAGAGAGTTTCCTATTCCACACAGCCACGCCAGCCCTGTCAGAGCCTTGCACACCCTGGGGTTCATCACAGTGGCATAGTGCAGAGGTTTGCACACAGCAGCATAGCGGTCAAAAGCCATGACCACCAGCAGAACACACTCAGCAGAGCCTGTTGCCAGGAACACATAGAGCTGAACCACACAGCCCAGGACTGTGATGGTCTTGGCTGGTCCCCTGAGGTTCCACAGCAACTGTGGGACAACACTGGTGGTAAAGCAGAGATCAGCTAAGGAGAGGTGACTGAGGAAGAAATACATGGGTGTTTTGAGTTTAGGGTCGATGGAGGAAATCAGAATAATGACTGCATTTCCCACTAGCGTCAATAGGTAGGACACCAACACCAAGACGAAGAGTATCTTTTCCAGGTGTGGCTGGTCGGAGAAGCCCACCAGGATGAAGTCCCCCTTGGCACTGCTATTGGTGATGTCCATTACCTGTTCAGAGAGTATTAGAGGAGCTTAGAAAGAAGGTGCTGTTTGGCCACTGGTCACAATACCGACCATTTCAAAGAACTCTTGAAACACTCAGTCTGAGAAATTGCATCCATCATTGTGGCTTGCTGGCCACTGCCTTGCAGGACAGGCAGATGATGACATTGTAACACCCTCCCAAGGGAGGGTGGAGCTGAGCAGGGATGAAGAGAAGCTGGAAAGGAGACTGTAGAAGGATGGAAGGAGGATGGAGAGTGAGAAGGAGACCTGGAGGAGGCACAGACATTTGAAGAGGCTGCACTTGCTTCTTGGTTTTGAACTGGTGGAAACAGATATGGGTGAGAGACCCATGGGGAGGATAACAATGGCTGCTTTCATCGATTTTGATTTTTCTCTTTTCCTTCCAGATTTATCTGGCCATTTCTGCCCCTCTCCTATGGTTCCCCACCTGTAGATACCTGCTACTTGTGGCAGGCTTTTAGGCCTCACTGACCCTGCTTTGGGCCAACCCTATTTGACTAGGCATTTACCCATAGAGGATGAGTAACTTTGGATGTTTGGTTTGGAAGCTTTATCTTACTTATTTCTTTGTTGCACACTAATTGTATTAAAGTTCCTTTCCATTAAAGTTCTTACCCACTAGAGTGTGTTTTTTTCTTGATGTGGCGGATGGCAGAACCTGTTTAGAGCAGGCAGGTTTGGGTATTTTGGGGGCCCCTCTCCCTGCCCTGAACAACATGAACAACAGGACTCTGGACAGGAAGACATAGGAAGACTAAATAGGAAAGAAGAAACTTCTCGCAGATAACAAGGATGAAACAGATAAAATTTATCACAGAAAAAAATTAAGAAGGAAGAAGGACAAAGAAAGTACGATGATTGAAAATGTGTTCAGTTAGTTCATAGCTCATGACAAAGCTTCATTTTAAATGGCAATAAACAAAGTAATGAGAGTGTAGATTTAATGATAAATGTAAATAACTTTCAGTTCTCTACAAATAAGCTTGAATTGGGCATTTTTTTCAAAAATTTGTCTTCCATAAATGATACTTTCTGGAGATAATAGAGGTTATTTTTGTGAAACAGTTAGCCTAGAAAGTAATAATAGGAGCATTCACTTCTAAGCATTGAGGGATTGTGCACACATAATCTCAAAAGTATATATTAGTTAAATAATTTTGTCCACAGCACATCATGATGCAAGTCCATGCAATAATTGCAGAAAATGAACTCATTATATACTTCTGTGTGGTGTTATAGAAAGGACACAGGGTTCAGGTCCCCTATATTGAATGAAAAGTTTGAATCTGAAAAGAGGAATGAGAATCAGGTGAAGGAGGAATATAGGTCTCACTCATAGCAGGAATCTAGGAAACCTAAATAAGGGACCAGGAAAAAGTAATAACTATAAGAAAGAAAAAAAAAAACAAAATCAACAAACAGCTATGAACCAGAGATACACTATGGGGGCAGGGGCCGGGAAAGGAGAGATTGGGGTCAAAATAAGGGGGTTGCAACTGTTTGGGGAATACAAAAATAAAATTTAAAAAAAGAAAGAAAAAGGAGGAATAAGGAATGTAGATGTATGAAGGAGGCTGTCTCAAGGTACATGATACTTATTAGAATTTCTTCTTCTAATAGAGAAATAGTTTTTCTGAAATCCCAGTTATAAAAGCAATGACTATGTTAAATATTCAATATAGTCACTCATACAAAGCACATTCGTAAGACTGTCACTGTATTTCATGTTTGAAACAAGCACACACTTCAAAAAAATAAATAAAAATAAATAAATAACATTTCGGTTCTCTGCAAATAAGCTTGAATTGGGCATTCTTTTTTCAAAAATTTGTGTTCTATGAATGACACCTTCTGGAGATGATAGAGGTTATTTCTGTGAAACATTTAGCCTAGAAAGTAGTAATAGTAGCATTCACTTCTAAATGTTGAAGGATTATGCACACATAATCTCAAAAGTAAATATTAGTCAAGTAGCTTTGTGCACAGCGCTTCTGATGCAAGACCATTCAATGAAAGCAGAAATTGAACTCATTATATCCTTCTGTGTGGTATTATAGAATGGTCTCAAGATTCAGGTCCCCTATATTGAATGAAAAGATGAATCTGAATGGAGGAATGAGAATCAGGGAAAGGAGGGTTGTAGGTGAATGAACAAGGCTGTCTCAAGATACACGATACTTACTAGAATTTCTTCTTCTAATAGAGAAATAACTTTTCTGAAACTCCAGTTATAAAAGCAATGACTATGTTAAATATTCAATATAGTCACTCATACAAAGCACATTTCCACAACTATCACTGTATTTCATCTTGGGACAAACACGCACTTTCTACACATCATCAGTAAAATCACTCAGTCTCAAAATGTTTCCCTAGTAGGCAACTGTAGAATAGAATTTACTTTCTTAATTGTTATGCAAATTAACAAAAAAGGTAAAATAAAATTAAGCTGTTCTCATGATTGTAATCAAATGATCTAATCAAATGATTATACCTAATATTTTTACTTTTTTTTTTAAATGATACTTAGCAGAATTCCATGGAAACAAAATGAGATCAGGGGTCTGGACATTCAACATATCAGCATGAAGACACTGAACGTTCTCTCATAATAGTGAAAGAGGAATATAATAGTAGGTGAAAGTATAAAAGGACCACTAAGGAGCAAACCAGTTTACACATATTTCTCCTAATTCTAATAAATGCACTCACAATTATATGCATACACATCCATGCACACAAACACACACAGTCATCATCCTCCCATTCTCTCATTGAAGGTCAATTCTCATTCATTTCACCACCTTGAAAAAAAAGTCATATTCTCATTCAAATGAATAATATAAAAGCCAGATGTGCTGATATCTGTAGTTCTGCTTCAGGTTCTACTTTGCCTTCCCAGTCAAAGGGGAATTTCCCCTGTTGCCCCCCATACTTGCACACTATTGATACCAAATGCTGGCCTCAGTTTCCCTCAGCCAATAAAAGGAAACAGTTTGAGGAAAAGGAAAGTGGTTTAATTTGTTGACAAATGAGGAAGGCAGCAGACTCATGTCTGAAAGACAGCCGCCCTGCTCTTTAGCAGAAGGTAGGGGTATTTATACAAACCGAAAAAAAGGGAGATGGGCTATGGTCTGCAAAAGGGAGGGAAGGGGTCAGCACAGAGACAGGAGTGCACCAGCTTGCTTTTCTCCAATATCTGATGTTTAACTCCCTCTTCCTTGAAATGCAGGAGGACTTGTTATCTAAAGACAAACCTGTCAAACAAGGGGGTAATTGCAAGAAATATGAAGGAAAGACAAACTTGTTAATGCTTATCTGGGAGACCAGTCATAAAGAAGGCAAACTTGTTAAATAAGGGGGAAATTGCAAGAGATGGGGGAAGACAAACTTTTTAATTCTTAGAGACCAATCATTTGTAAATGCATCACTATCTCAACATAAATGCCACAAGAAATCAATTTGCAGTTTTGAACTAGTTCCTTATTTATAAAAAATCTGTTATCTTATTTAAGATTGCAGTAAGTTTGTATTCCACATGATGTAGAATTGAATGATAGTTTATCCTATGACCACCCCATTCAGAGGTAATCACTTAAAACCTGAGTCTAAATTTACCATTAAGAGTCATAGGCATGACACAGATGGGAAGCCAAGGCATGCATACAAGTGAGAAAGGCAAGAGAGAGGAAGTTTGCCACCTTCTTTTGCACACAGAACATCATTTTAACATAGAAAAGAACTTGGAGCCATAGGGTTCCAATTATTGTTACCTTGAAATGAGGAGTCAGTGGCTGAGGTCCACGTACTGCTTGCAGGGCTGTTATTGGAGTGGAGATCCCTGAAGATCAGCTCATCTGGAGAGACTGGAGAGGACAGAGGGCACTGAATCAGAAAAGATGCCAGGGACATGGTTCTCCCAATTGGCAATTAGTACCAGGCTCTGTAGTATCCACAGAATTGTCCCTGGAGATCATTCTGAAAGAAAAATGACTGCCCCTCTAACCTTACAATGTTGTTTAAATCTATAGCAAATCACAGAGATATTTAACTTCTGTCCTCACAATCTCCCGCCATTGAGTTGCTGTCACATTTCTGTCATCATCAATGTTAAATTTGTAACAGCATTAATACACCATGTATTATACAAACAGGTACATATGTATTATGTCTGTGCCTGTTGACTAATAATTTCAAATTCTTTTCATCACAGCTAAATTTCTGTCACCTTGTCCTTTCATCATGTCTACCTTGCAAACTGTAGGTCTAGAACATTTTAGCAGAGGCTTCTTCCTCAATAGTATAGACAAACATATGCCACTGGACATAAAAAAGAAATTATTTTTAATATTTTATTTTATATAATTCTTACATCATTTTTCATCTTTGCACAATGTATGCATTTTCATTTTGGTTATATTCTCCATACAATTGCAGCCCCCCCTTATTTTGACTCTAGTCCTTCCTTTCCCTGCCCCTCCTTCTCCCCCGCCCATAGTGTGTATCTGGTTTACAGTTGCTTGTTGATTTTGATTTTTACTTTGTATTGATTAGTCTTTTTCCTTGTCTCTTGTTTAGGTTTTCTAAATTCCTGCTATGAGTGAGACCATCCAGTATTTTTCTTTTTCTTTGCGACTTATTTTGCTGAGCATGATCCCTTCTAGCTCCATCCATGTTGCTGCAAACTGCATGTGTTTATCTTTTTGATTGCTGAGTAATATTCCATTGTGTATATATACCTACTAAACATAGAGCTTCCATATGATCCAGCAATTCCACTCCTAGGTATTTACCCAAAGGACACAGAAACATTAATTCAAAAGGGCACCTGCACACCTATGTTTATAGCAGCACTGTTTACAATAGCTAAGCTATGGAAACAACCCAAATGCCCAAAAATAGATGACTGGATCAAGAAGATGTGGTACATAGACAACAAATTAAATTGGAATACGTCATTAAAAAATGCTTGATCTTTC